ACACCCACACACTGTGCAACTCGACGAGCAACGACGAAGGGTGAGATGCGAAGACCACCGCGGAGTAGGCCAAGAAGACAAAGGCCACAGTGAGAGCTCCTAAAATAAATTTTCTCAACATTTTTGTAATAATACTTAATACATAATATACGAAGTCAATACTTTACAAAATACTCATACGGGTATGAAAACAACATAACTGAAGTTGCAAATGTAATAGTTTTCAATTACGTAGCTAGTACAGACATAATTCTCTCACAAAAATACATTATGGACACCATGAACTGAACACACATTACATACATCCTGGACACTCTTAACTGAACACACAATACATAAACATAACAGTTAGATAGACAAACACCTAATTCATGACCTAATATTGCATATAAATAGCCGTAACATTTGACAGACACAATACATAAACATAAACTTAAACATAAACATAACATAACATAACAGTTATACTTACTCTAACACAGACATTACATATTAATGCAAGTTGTTATATTGCTGAAGTGTAGACATTAACACCTAATTCGCGCTTAAATCGGCAGGTGGCTCAGAGTCTGAACAATCCGAAAGCTCAGCGTCAGAGACAAGTTCAGGATCCTCCATGATAGCCTTGATAGCCGCAACATTTGGTTCTGTTTTGTTCTTCTGGGCATCCTTCTTAAATATGAGTAGCTGCATATCGCGGGCCAATCTACGACCCTGAGAAATCTCACGTTGTAGTGTTTGACATAGTCGATCAACATTATCAGGATCTTCCTTTTAGATCTCAACAGAACGTGCTTTTGGCACCTTCAGTCGTCTTTCCCGACATAATCTTTCGTTTTGCACTCGCTCTATAAATAGTGCGGGCCACTTAAGAAGTCTAGCCTTTGCATAACCATATCCTGTTTGATTTTCTGATGGATCCTCCACCAAACCACATGGATCTCGATAGTACTTGGGCATGACAAAATGTCGCTTCCCAAACCTATCATGATAAGCACAAGAGGCATCCAAGAAAGGAAATGGTGTTTCATCTTCAGCATCGCCACTTCCCCTTCCCCCTCCTTGTCGTGAACTTTCTCCCCTTTGCAAGTTCCTACCACCTCTGCGACCCCTACTCCCTCCTATGAACCATGTAGCCGTGCTAATTTTTTCAAACAAATGAATAATAATTTCGTAGGGCGAAATGAGTTGTAAGGTTGTGCCTTCACCTTGAGTTGTAAGGTTGTGTCTTCACCTTTACTCGTTTATATAGTTGATTATGAACGGATAAATGAGAATCCCACATATATGCATGCTGACTGTAAGGTAAATGCATGCTGACTATAAGGTAAATCAGTAGATTCACTGTTGCCATGTGGCTTTCTAAATTGAGAATCCCACATATATCAATACGAGATGAGTTGTCACTGTAACAAAAAAGTCGAGCAAAAAATGGAGAAAACCAAAGCATGTGCACCAAGTCACATCACTTCACAATCCATCTGCATATACGAACAAAATAAGGGCATGCGGACTGTAAGGTAATTCAGTGAATTCACTGTTGCCATGTGACTTTCTAAGTTGAGAATCCCACATATATCAATAACAGATGAGTTGTAATAAAAAAAATCGAGCAAAAAATCGACAAAACCAAAGCTTGTGCACCAAGTCACATGACTTAACAATCCATCTGCATATAAGGACAAAATAAAGGCATGCTGACAGTAAGGTAAATCAGTGAATTCACTGTTGCCATGCGACTTTCTGAGTTGAGAATCCCACATATGTAAATAAGAGATGAGTTGTCACTGTAACAAAAAAATTGAGAAAAAAATGGAGAAAATCAAAGCATGTGCACCAAGTCACATCACTTCACAATCCATCTGCATATAAGGACAAAATAAAGGCATGCTGACAGTAAGGTAAATCAGTGAATTCACTGTTGCCATGCGACTTTCTGAGTTGAGAATCCCACATATGTAAATAAGAGATGAGTTGTCACTGTAACAAAAAAATTGAGAAAAAAATGGAGAAAATCAAAGCATGTGCACCAAGTCACATCACTTCACAATCCATCTGCATATAAGGACAAAATAAAGGCATGCTGACAGTAAGGTAAATCAGTGAATTCACTGTTGCCATGCGACTTTCTGAGTTGAGAATCCCACATATGTAAATAAGAGATGAGTTGTCACTGTAACAAAAAAATTGAGAAAAAAATGGAGAAAATCAAAGCATGTGCACCAAGTCACATCACTTCACAATCCATCTGCATATAAGGACAAAATAAAGGCATGCTGACAGTAAGGTAAATCAGTGAATTCACTGTTGCCATGCGACTTTCTGAGTTGAGAATCCCACATATGTAAATAAGAGATGAGTTGTCACTGTAACAAAAAAGTCGAGCAAAAAATGGAGAAAACCAAAGCATGTGCACCAAGTCACATGACTTCACAATCCATCTGCATATAAGGACAAAATAAAGGCATGCTGACAGTAAGGTAAATCAGTGAATTCACTGTTGCCATGCGACTTTCTGAGTTGAGAATCCCACATATGTAAATAAGAGATGAGTTGTCACTGTAACAAAAAAGTCGAGCAAAAAATGGAGAAAACCAAAGCATGTGCACCAAGTCACATGACTTCACAATCCATCTGCATATAAGGACAAAATAAAGGCATGCTGACAGTAAGGTAAATCAGTGAATTCACTGTTGCCATGCGACTTTCTGAGTTGAGAATCCCACATATGTAAATAAGAGATGAGTTGTCACTGTAACAAAAAAGTCGAGCAAAAAATGGAGAAAACCAAAGCATGTGCACCAAGTCACATGACTTCACAATCCCACTGTATATTTTAGTACTTGGCTTTACTAAAGCCTTTCCTTGAAATAGCTCAATCTCATATGGGTATATCACAATTCACCAGTTACCTCATTGCTTATCTTTAGTTTCCTAGTACAACCTTGTTCAAAGAAAACAAAATTTAGAACAGAGAATTAGCAAAAGTTCATACCATTGCAGATCGGATGTGTCCAGTTGTTGCGCGATTGGATTCAGCTTTCCAAATACCTACTCCAAGAAAATTGAACACCAGGTCAGCACCAAAAAAGAAAAACAAAAATTTCCAACAACTAATTCAATTATATGCACCAATAATAAATCTAATATGAACCAATGGAAATTTCAAGGACAACCACCTTCTACTTGAGTTACTGTTTGTAACTTCCAACCATCACCATATTCCACAAGAACAGAATTGGGGCCAAAGCTCACAGGCTCTTCACCTTCTTTCACTGCTTCAATATGCAATGCCATTGGCCCACCATCAAGCTTCCTGTTTATCAAAGAAACTGCAAAACCAGCCTCCGTGCCGGCCGCAAACCGCCTAGTTACACGTGGCTAGAAGGGATTAAACCCCTAAACATACATTGCAACCCAACACTTTTTGAGCCTTAATTATATAAAAAAATTTAGTTGGATATAGCTTTTTCTTCGACTAGACTAACAGTTGTTACTCTACTTCTTCATCTCCTCAATCTCCTTCTCCTTCTACTTCTCCTTCTCTGTTCTTATCTTGTTCGACACTTCGTTTTTGTTGCTATTTTAAAATGTATATGATTTATGAGTTAGATGCTTGTATTTAGATGAACCTTGAGTTATTTGTCTATAATAAAATATTAGTATTTGTTGGTATTTATGTTGTAAAATATTTAATATTTCATTTTAGTTATGAATCACATGGGGATATATGGTTATTTTTTAAAAGACAGGAAGTTAAAGTGAGAAGCTTCTAAACTTACACATCATTTCCAGTTTGTCCACATATTTCTCAATTCACACTTAAAAAATAACATTTGGGAACTATTTCGTTTTCAGTTTATATTTATAAAAATTTAAAAACTTGTTTGATAACTTTTTTAGTTTATAAATGGTTATCTCAGTTTGTAAATTTGAGGAAAAAACGTAAACTCAAAAAATGAGTTTGCGTTAGTTTTTAAACATAAATTAAAAAATTTGACTAACAATTTTTTTTTTCAATTAATTTTTTTTTCAATTAATTTTTTTAATTATTTTTTTTTT